CCTTGGAATTCTCTTGAAGTTTTCCTCAACATCCCTTTGGAATTTCATTCAAAATTTGATTCTCATCCCCAGAAATCTTTTCTTTTGGAACTGTGCGCAGAATTCAATACCCTTAAGGTTCTTCTCGTAAGTCAAGTTTCAGTTGTCCGTCCATTCACCATAACGTTGTAGTTTTTCTACCAGAAAGGTTCAATAAAGCTTGCCCCTCCATTCACCAGAGCTGTGCAATTTTTACATCATGAATTTTTAATTCAGCTTGCCCCTCCATGCAGTAGATTGTTGAAAATCACAGGGTGGCAAGTGAACCAGGAAAACCAGAAAAACCGGGAAAAAGCCGGGAATTTATTTTCATCAGGAAAAACCGGGAAAAACCAGGAATTTCATAAGTCCACCAGGAAAATAATCTTGTTTGTATAATTTAAATAGGTTTTAATTTTTATGTATGTCAAAGTTTCTTTTTATAATCAGGTCAAAACTAACCATTTTGTTCAAGCTAAATCTTTCACACAGCTAAACATTAATGAACAAAATTTACCCTGAGAATTTAGTAAATATTTTTTGTATTTATTTTTAATTTAATTTTTTTCTCGAATCAATTGCATTTATGATTTGTGCTTAATTGATAGCAGACTTAAGCAGTGCCGACGCGTAACTACTTTGAAGTATCTGTTCAACATGTTCAATAAAAAAGTTCTATTTCTAAAAACTTCAGATAAGGCCTTCGAACTTCATGCAAGTTCTACAAAATTCGGGAAAGTCTTACAACTTTCAGGAAAAGCCTGTGAACTACTGTGATGACGGTTAGGAAATCTCTCCGAACCTTCAGAGAAGTTCTACAAATTTCAGAGAAGTCTTACGAACTTCAGGGAAGTCCTTTAATCTTTCGGGAATAACTACGAATTTTACAGAATTTTCTACAGATTTAATGTAACTTCTACGACATTTAGGCATTTCTTAAGCCTTAAGGATAATCCTATGACACTTATAGATTTTTTTCCGAGCGACAAAGAAGTCTTCAATACTCTTGGGAAGTCCTCTGAACTTAACATAGTTCTCCAAGCTCAAAAAAGTTCCTAGAACTTCCGAGAAGTCGATTGAACTATAGGTAGTCCTACAAAATTCATGGGAGCTCTCCAAACTTCAGGGAATTTCCAAGAAATTGAGGAAAGACCCACAAACTTTTGGAAAACCCTTCGATATTTAAAGTCTTATAAACTTCAGGGAAGCTCTTCTAAATTTAGGGACCTCATATATTCAATTAAGTCCTTCAAACTTCAGGGAAGTCCTCAGATCTTCGAGAAAGTTCTTCGAACTTGAAGGAAGTCTTACGAACTTCTGAGAATTTCTACGAACTTCGTGGTACTTCTACGATATTTAAGAAATTCCTATGAATTTCAAAAAACTCCGAACTTTAGCGAAATCTTTAAAAAAGTCCTTCGAACTTCGGGAAAGTCCCATGAAATTCAGAAAATACAAATTTCAATAAACCCTTCAGGAAAGACCTTAACGCTTCAGGGAAGTTCTATGAACTTTAGGGAGTTTCTATGAACTTCAGCAGTCAGTCTTTTTAATAATAAGAGTTATTCAACCAACGTTGTTTATGAAATCTTTTAATCATATGATTTGAAATCATGTTGTAATCAAAATTCCGCTAAATAAGATCCTTAATCGTTGACAATTTGCGGAAAATTTAAACAAACTGGAAATCCGTAAAATGGTTAGAAGCAAAGGTTTATTTAAAGACTCCTCATTCATATCACACTTCGCAATTTCACCGTGAGATAAACTAAAAATCTCAATAATAAAGTTAAAAAAAAAATCGCAGTTTCAAAAACAGAAATCTCAAGATTTGGGGACATATAGATCTCTAAATTTTAGACATTAGACAATTCGTTGTATCTCAGCTTTTCTTCGTCATACACCCCTAAAATCGCTCATTTTACGGGTTATCACAAATGTTTCAGTGTCAATCGTAATTAATCTTGTAAGCAAAGATGTTTTTGCAAAAAACCTGAGTGAAAACGCTTTGCTATTATATTTTTAGCACATAGAACGGAAATAGGCGTCATGATACGACGAACTAGCGCGACTCCCTACTAGCTTCTTTACAGCAAACAATCAGATAAAGATTTCATGGGCATTCACAAGAACCTTAATACATATTTTGCTTTGTGAAATTCTGCATTGCGCGAAGAATGATGGTACAAGGATTCACTTTATTTTTTTATTAAAAATTGTTTTTTAAATACACGGTTTTTAAAACCAGGAAATTTTTAAATCATTGACCAGGAAAACCAGGAAAAAACCAGGAATTTTAAAATGGAAATTCACTTGCCACCCTGAAATCTTACACCAGCAATTTTCAATAAAACTTGCCCCCAAGTAATTTTACACCAGAAAATTTCAATTGACCGAAAAGATGCAAAGTTTCCACCGTTAATGTTAAATAAAAATTGTTTCTCCAATCTTCTGATTGGTGCAGATTTCCTTTTTTTCATTTTCCACCAGACATTTTCAGCTGGCTTCACTTATCATCAGGATGTTGCAGTTTTTCCACCAAATAAAGCTTACCTCTATTTTCAGATTTTTCATCATAAATTTTCAGTAAAGCAGCTTCCCTCCAATCATCAGAATGGTGAAAATTTTACACCAGAAATTATTATTAAAATGTTTCGAAAAGCTTGCCCATCCGTTTGCCAGAACGGTGCAGATTTTCCACCAGAAATTTTCACTATAGCTTAAATATAAATAAAGCTTGTGCCTTCATTTACCAGACCAGTGCAAGTTTTCCACCAGAAATTTTCTGTTCATTTCATTTATCAGAGCTAGGCAAATTTTGCACCAGAAATTTTCAATAAAGCATGCTCCTCCATTCACCAGAACAGTGCACCATGTTTCACCATACACCTTTGTGGTGCAATTTCCAGGCTTTGCCTCTTCATGAATTTTCAAAGAAGCTTGCATTCATCAGAACAATGCAAATTATGCACCAGAAAAATTAATAAACCCTTGCTTCTACATTCACCACAGTGTTGCGAACTCTCCACCTGAAATTTTCAGTTAAATGTGCACCTCTTAATTTTTAGCATGATTCAATTTTTTCCACCAGAGTTACTCATTTTGATTAGTCCCTCTATGCACCATCTTGACGATATTTTTACACCTGAAAAATTCAATAAAAAGCTTTTTCTTTGATTTACCACCACGAAGGTGAATTTTTCAACCTTAAATTCAGGCGTAACATTTGATAACGGCACAAAAGCAATTGTAAACAAACTTTCTAAGGCCCTTTACACGCTAACCAAAGTACGCCCACGCAAACCAATACCACTTTCGGAAAGGTGATAGTTGCCCCTATCCACTGATGTTGTTGGTTTGCGTGGGCGTACTTTGGTTCACGTGTAAAGGGCCTTAGAAAGTTTGTTTACAAAAGCTTTTGTGCCGTTATCAAATGTTACGCCTGAATTTACCCTCTTCTTTTAACTCTCCATGAAACCTTGAAAAGTGGAATCGATTGTAAACTACCGGAATTTTATACTGTACATGTTTTGTGAAAAATGCTAAAACTAGGTTGTCCTATCCATAAGAGCCTACGGAGAAATACATTTTCAACAGATTTTTCTCGGTTTGCTGTTTTCCCAGATGGGACTGATATGCGTTTATAGACAGTGTATGGGTCTTGAGACCAGACATTTTCTAAATCGTTCCAAACTCACCATACGATAAATCAAATCACATGAGAATTCGAAAATAAGATCAATAAGATTCATGATGTGTAACCAGCACCACGTTGGCCGCACCCGGATATGTTCCGCCGGGGAAGTGGTATCCCCATTTTAAATTAAACTCATCATGCGGTCATATTGAGGGTCGTAAGAACTATATTGACCACATCCGGACATGTTCCAGATACCCTAGAGGAAGTGTCTTGAGTTAAATCTCATTCTCAACATTCTTGATTCTATAGAAGCAAGCCTAAAAACATAGATGTTACGTTGGTTTATAGTTTATTTAATGAAATCATATTTTTTTCTCCATGGGACTGACTGTCTTGTTTTTAATTTTTCTTGAACAAAACACCTTTTTTCAATAGCACAGCTCAAAATACATCAAGAGATAAACTGAATAATGATGCTAACTCAAAATTGATAAAAATGCAGATGGGACTTACTTGCGCTTACCGGCAGTATACGGAGCATTTCAGTGATGTGCCCATTTTTTAAGAGAGGTGTGACGACTCGGTCTATAAAGAAAAAGAGAAGGATAATACTAATTTCCATTTAATTGTATAATAATTCACAATGCGCAGACTTCTTCTACAGTTTCTTGAATTAAGACACTGACGAAATCTGTACATTGTAGACTAAATAAGCGTATCTGGGTATCTGTAAAGTATATGCAATTAAGGTAATGGAAATTACTAATCCTTCTCTTTTTCTTTATATAGGAATACTATAGTACAATACAATAGTATAAATAATACTATTATAGTAATATACCCCGTACTGTATGTACCCGAAAGCATTCATCAGGACTTTGTCTAGCTGAGGAAGTTAAGTTGATATTTTTTTTTCAATGTGTGCAAACGTGCTGGTCCACTTTGGTGAGCAAACCGCAATAGAATCTGCTGCACATGACACGACTTCTTCCTTTAGCTGAAATTCATGTTTTCTCTGCTAACAATGATTTGTGACAACCGGCTGGTAAAGTCTGGGGTTGATAATCTTTCATACGTTATATGCAACGAATTTTAAATGTAGTTTAAAATAGATTCGCAAAAAAAAATCACCGAAAGGTTCTCAGTTTACTAACCAATTTAAACATAGTATCATAGCCTAATTTTCGACTCGTTTCCAGGTCAATCGGTGTCATACTGAAACACGGTAAACTCCTAATGCTGAACATAATCTCTGAGCCGTCAATCTTCATTAAAAGAAAAAAAAAAACGTGTATTCTACCACCTTGCTTACTGTTTCCATTTGTCTGTATTCTCTTTGCAGCGGTAAATTTAGTGGTGGCGGAAGAAGCGCCAGTGGGGCTGATGGCGGGTCAAATCGGCGCCGTTCGCCCATGCGCGGTGGCGGACGTGGCGGAGGTGGTGGTGGCAACTTTGCTCCATCAAGACGCGGCGAAAGCTCTCCACAACGCGAGTACAACCAAGGGAATCGGCGACCTTCGCGAGAGCAAGCCAACCAATGGCGTCGGTCGGATGAGCAGCAGCAAGCTCCACCGAGGGCACCGATGGGACCACCGGCCTCGAGGTTCGACGAAAGACGAGGAAATAATAGTCGACCTAATAATACTAATAATATCAGCAGTAATAATCGGGAAAATAATCGCGAACAACCGCCGGATCCTAGAAGGCGATCAGGAGAAACGCGTCCCAATTGGGACGAGGAGAAAAAAGGACCGCCGTCAAAGACGGGAGATAACACTTTGGATTCGGGTGAATTCTGGGATGATGGTGGAAGTGCTCCAATAATCTTGGAGACAAAACCGGAGAAAAAGGAGAAGAAACCGGCTGTTGATGTTGATGTTGCTGAAGAAAGTAGGAAACCATCTAAGAAGCACGAAGCGTCCAAACGGATTGAACCGGCTAAAAAGGATGTTGTCAAGGTGGAGGAGAAAAAGCCAATTGTTAAAGCCAGGTATAGTAAGAGTTTATCTAGGACGCCGTCTCCTTTCCTTAAATCGCACGAACGAGTTGTTGCTGTCGTCAGTACAGTTAGCGTTCCAACTACTACCACCGTTGTCGCCAATACTGTAGTACAGAAAGAGGAGAGGCCTGTATCGAAACCAGTGGCGGCGAACAAGGTAAAACAAGTAAAAGCTAGTGGTGGCAAAAAAGATACTAGCGATAGCGAAAGCTCTGAAAGTAGCAGTGAATCCGAAGAGGAGGAGAAAGTCTCTCGCAAGAAGAAAATTAAGAAGAAGCAATCGAAGAAGCGTAGACGGTCGTCATCTTCAAGCGAGGATGACTCTTCCGATGATAGTGAGAAAGAGGAAGAGCAACAAAAGAAGCCCCCCAAACAGGACGTGGCTGCTGCGGCTCTCCAGGAAGAACGTAGGAAGAATGCCTTGAGGCTGGAAAAAGAAAAAGAAGCTGCTGTGGCGGCAGCAGCAGCAGCAGCAGCCGCAGCCGCAGCCGCAGCAGCGGCAGCTGCAGCAAAAGCCAGAGAAGAAAACAACAAAAAACGCAAACGCACGATCAGTGCCGAATCGAAACATACAGAAGAGAAAAAGGTAGTAGCACTAAAGGAAATCAAAGCTAAGAAAGTAGAAAAACCTTCCTCGTCGTCGTCAAGCGATTCGGAAACAGAGCGTTCAAAGAAGAAACGACGCAAGGAGAAGAAAAAGCGCGATGCATCGGACGGTAGCTCATCCGATTCGGACAGCACGAAGAAGAAAAAGCATAAGAAACACAAGAAACACTCCAAAAAGCACAAGAAACATAAGAAACACAAGAAGAACAAGAGCAAACAGCGTGACAGTAGCTCCTCCTCGGATGACGATGACGGTGATCTGCGCGGTCCCGGAGGACCTGTTATAAATGATGATTTGGAAAAGCAGCTACGCGAACGAGCTCTCAAATCGATGAAGAAACAGCAGAGTATCTCGGATTGAGATACAGACGTGTACGGTTAGCATACACAGTTAGAGGTAGCATGATGGTAAGGTAAAGTTACTATTGAGCAGATTGCGTAGTGTTAAGGTGTAAAAGAATAGTGCAGTTGTTTCTTATTATTTTCGAAATTGTGTGAGTTACATTCAACTCTCGATTCAAACAGTCTTACAAATCACATAATTGTAATATTCTTCGCCAGAGATAACAATTTGCATCAATTCACTAGGAATTGTTGTTAGATTTGTTTTTATCAGATATTTCCCTGTAAAAGGTATGAATAGGTTTTTTTTTTACTGATGACGAATATTAATATCAGCTTTGATATTGATTCTAGCTATCCTTCTGTTACTATTTAAATACTGCTTAGTTCCTCCTTTTTATTTCATTAGGTTTTACTTTACAAGTTTGAGAAGTAAGATAAACATACTAGAACATCAACAACTGATAACAACATTTTCCTAATTTAGGATAATATTAATAGCAGTCATGAAATATAAAACAACAATATAAATTATACTACCGTAAAGTGTATGCATAACATAACATATTGAGGAGTCAAATAAAATCTTGCTAAGTGTAACATTCACATTTCATAGTATCCAAAACAATCATGATGACCTTTATATTTCAATACATGTATCTGAAACAATCCTGATAACTTTCTTGTCTGCATTCGTTCTATTATGGGTCCTATTATGTAAGTCGAGTCGAGCGTCACTTCTGGTCACTGGTCAGAAGTAATTGTAGTAATAGGGTCCTATTTTAAGCTCTAGAACTCTTCACCGGTATTCCTTTATTTCACGGAGAGCGTAGAGTAGCAAAAGTCGTAATTAAACTGGTGATAACCAGTGTAGGCTGTAATCTTCCAATCTTGCAAACTTTTTTTTTGTTTCAGATGACCTTTATTTTTTCGCCATTTCCAAATCCGGTTGTTGTTCGGAAGGCTGAACAGCAGTATCACAAACGAAGTGACGTGACAGAAGGAGCGGCTCGAAAACTTTGGTGACGAACCTGCTATTGCAATTTTTTTCAGTTTACTACATGGCAACACTACTACCACAAACGAAGTGACAGACGACTAACTGGCGAAGAAATCAATTAAAATGATGTGGTTCACTGTAACAGAATTTTCTTAGAAGCTTGTGCCATCATCCACCAGATGGGATAGTATTTTTGTTTTGGTTTTGCACAAAGTTGATTTTGTGTACAATGATTCTTTGACAGTGTGCAAAGAGTGTATCATTTTGTCATTTTTTATGCATTGTAGTTTTGAGTAGAGTGAAAAAGATAGAACCAAAACATTCTAGTACATTTGGTGAAAATGCTAGTTCAATCCAGTAGTAGTGTTGCCATGTGGTACAATCCAGTAGTAGTGGTGTTGCCATATGGTACACTGAAAAATTGCAATAGCAGGTTAGTCACCAAAGTTTTCGAGCCGCTCCGTCTGTCACTTCGTTTGTGCTCCTACCATAGAGGTAACTCTAAGACTAGTAGGTCCCGAAGGAAGGTGCTCAAATGTATGGCTCAGCTCTGGTCCTATCTTCGGTCCCAAGCTAATCGATGCACCCCTCGAAACATAGGAAAATCCACGAACCCCTCATTTAACCAATCAAACTTTCATAGCTAATCAAAACAAACATTGTGTAGTATTAGAATTTCGACTAGAATGGGGTACGTTAATCGATTTGCTTGGGAACAATAGGCTAGTCAAGTAGTGAGCCAATTTAAAATCTTTACTTTCCACCGGTTGCTACTACTGAATTGTACTAGCATTTTCACCAAATGTACTAGAATGTTTTGCTTCTATCTCTTTGGAAAATTAGCGCAAAGCACGATCACAAACGAAGCGACAGACGGAGCGGCTCGAAAACTTTGGTGACTAACCTGCTATTGCAATTTTTCAGTGTACCACATGGCAACACCACTACTACTGGATTGTACCACATGGCAACACTACTAATGGATTGTACCACATGGCAACACTAAATGTACTAGAATGTTTTGGTTCTATCTCTTTCACTCGACTCTAAACTGAAATGCATAAAAAAATGACAAAATGATACACTCTTTGCACACTGTCCAAGATCATATTGCACACAAAATCAACTATGTTCAAATCAAAACAAAAATACTAGCCCATCTGGTGGCTGATGGCACAAGCTTCTAAGAAAATTCTATTACAGCGAACCACATTATTTTAATTGATTTCTTCGTCATCGTCGATCAGTGGATTATTGGCAAGAGGTGGCTAACAATTGAAGCGAGTTTAAATCAGCCACGACAAGATTGTCCACTGAAATGGTGGAATCAGAATACGAAGACTCGGAAGATACTCTCATGACGGTAAGCTCCAACTCGGATTAATTTTCAATACCGTCCCTGTTTGGATTATGTGCAAAATATATGCATAAAGTCACGTTGATTAACTCTAATGTCGACATCAAAGCAGCCGGACATTCTTGATCGGGATTTAATTCGAGGATAATACCATAGAGGTAACTCTAAGACCACTGTGTCCCGAAGAAAATCATTATTATTTTTGGCTCACTCAGTACCAGAACAACGGTCCCAAGCAGTCCCAAGCTATTTCACTTACCCCTGCATGTTCTGCATGAATCCACACACCCCTGATGTGATCTGTCAAACTTTCATAGCGAATCAAAACAAACATAGTGTAGTAATAGAATTTCAACTAGAATAGGGTACGTTAATCGTTTGCTTGGGACCAATAGGCTACTAAAGTGGTGAGCCAATTTAAAATCGTTAGTTTCGTATTGATTGTTGATAATACCATAGAGGTAACTCCAAGACTAGAAGGTCCAGAAATAATATTGGCTCAGCTCTGGTACTCTCTTCGGTCCCAAGCTAATCGATTCACCCCTCGAAACATAGGAAAAACCAATAACCCCTCATTTTATCTGTCAAACTTTCATAGCTAATCAAAACAAATATTGCGTAGTACTAGAATTTCGACTAGAATGGTGTACGTTAATCGTTTGCTTGGGACCAGAGGTGGCAACAGTACATTTTTTGAAAAACGATCGTCCAGAGCGAAACAAAACAGGCAGCACACGGGCGGCCGTTTTTAACTACATTCCAAGCGAACAGCGGAGATAGAGAATAAATAAAATCTCGGAGCCTGATTTTTCCAAACAGTTTATTGTAATGAAATTTTAGGTGCAGGCTTGCGTGTGACAGTAAATTACCAACTCCCTTATTTACGCATAATTTTAACATCAATGCTTACACGCAGAAAAATGGATTTTTGTTTCAGGGCCTAATGTATTTTGTTATTGATTCAAACATATTGTATCACTATTTCAACGAAACATATTTTTGAATCAACAAAATGGTTTTTAGAACCAACAAACAGATTATTGACTCTACAACCGGTTTGTTGATTCAAAAATATTTTTCTTTGAATTAACCGAATAATATATTTGAATCAATACCAAAAATATATTAGGCCCTGAGCCAAAAATATATCCATTTGAATTTAAAAATCATTTCTCTGTGTGTATGAGTGGTCAGTCTTCATTCTTATCTTTTAATTCCATGCAATAAACATCAAATAAATGCAGTAATTAGCCAGAAATCAGCAAAATTCTACACGACAAATTTATGTCGCGCGTGCCGCCGGTCTTGTCTGCTTCTTTGTGCGAAAATGTTCTGTCGCTGGCAGAAAACAGTTTAGAAATGTCATGACATTTTTGCCGCTTGCCAGTTTGTTTTTGTGTGTCGTCAAAATGGTTATCGCAAAAAGTATCAAATGTTAAGGAAAAAATGTTAAACTCCAGGACTCGTGCCACCACTGCTTGGGACCAATAGGCTAGTCAAGTAGTGAGCCAATTTAAAATCGTTAGTTTTGTATTGATTGTTGATAATACCGGTTGGAGCTTACCACCATCAGTGATTCAAGTAGCGATGATCAAATGAACATTCCGGTTTTCAGAGGTTTCTCTAACGTCTAATCAGCATCATAACAATATACCACTGCGCTATTGTCAAACGCGGTGATAGTAAAATCAACTAACAACTTCCCTTACTTTTCTCCAATCTCGATCATAATTACAGGTAAATACTCATTTTATTCAATTAGTATATTATACTTAGGCTTTGTTCAAATCAAAGCAAAAATACTAGCCCATCTGGTCGATGATGGCACAAGCTTTTAAGAAAATTCTCTTACAGTGAACCACGTTGGCAAATCAAAGTTGGCACTCGTGGAAAATAGAATAACTATGAAAGTGATGATGCTTTCAAAATTTTACACGAATGCAACCTTAAAATGCTTTTATTTTGCAAATGGAGTATTTTATTTAAATCTGGTTGATGCTATGTTAGTAGAAAACTTAAGGACTACTAAATAGACATATAATACAGAAAAAAATAATATCTTTTCAAATTTTTAGGTGTACACATAGATTTAAGCTTTTCTACCACTGTAGCAGCAACCAGATTAAAATAAAATGCTCCATTTGCAAAATAAAAGCATTTTAAGATTGCACTCGTATACTTTTCCGTGGAAAATTTGGAAACCATCATCACTTTCATAGTTCTTCTATTCTCCACGAGTGCCAACTTTGATTTGCCAATACCTCGCCGTGTAAAATTTTGAAACCATCATCACACTCATAGTTCTTCTATTCTCCACGGGGGCCAACTTTGATTTGCCAATACGAGTGCAATCTTAAAATCACAAACGAAGTGACGGACGGAGCGGCTCGAAAACTTTGGTGACTAACCTGCAATTTTTCAGTGTACCACATGGCAGCACCACTACCATAGAGGTAACTCTAAGACCAGAAGGTCCCGAAGAAACGTGCTCAACTTTTTGGCTCAGCTCTGGTAGTCTCTTCGGTCCCAAGCTAATCGATTCACCCCTCGAAACATAGGAAAATCCACTAACCCCTCATTTTATCTGTTAACTCCAAACGGAAAAGTGCAGTGATCCCAACGAATGTCTACCTGAACGAAACGACTGCAGCGTCAGCTACAGAGTCATGCCAGTTGTTCGCCAAGCATTTTTCATCCGTATTCGCGACGAATCCCGCCTCAAACTTGGAAATCGATGAAGCCATCAGTGATGTTCCCGCTGATTTTGTTGAGTTTGGACTGTTTGCTGTAAATCCAGAAATAGTTTCATTGGCTGCAAATAAACTGAAACGTTCGGTTGTCCCTGGTCCTGATGGTTTGCCTGCAGTTATAATATGCCGTTGTATTGGCGCTTTAGCACAACCGTTGTGTGATATCTTCAATCGCTCACTTCAGCAAGCAAAATTCCCTCGCATTTGGAAGCAATCGTTTATGACACCCATTTTCAAACGTGGTGATCGTTACAATGTTGTTAACTATCGGGGAATCACGAGTCTCTCAGCTGTCTCAAAATTGTTTGAGATTATAGTGGGTGGAGTTATTCTCGATGCCACAAAAGTTACATATCCACTGATCAACACGGATTCATGCCCGGACGATCGGTTACCACCAATTTGTTGAATTTTACGTCGAAATGCATAAAAAGTATGGAGGAAAAAGCGCAAGTCGATGTAATTTATACCGACCTGAAGGCGGCGTTCGATAAAAATGATCATAACATACTGCTACACAAGTAATCTCGTCTTGGAGTTTCTATGCAATTGGTTTTTTGGTTGGAATCCTACCTTACAGAGCGTGTACTTCGAGTGAAGGTTGAGGGTTTTGTATCTTCGCCGTTTTCAAACAAGTCTGGAGTTCCACAAGGTAGTAATCTCGGACCGTTGCTGTTTATTCTGTTCTTCAACGATGCTGCTTTCCCAGACAACCAGAATGCACGTATATGCAAAGTTGTTTTCGTGATATACAAACATATATACAAACAAACAATTCGTATATAATGCAAAGAAATGGCTTATACGTACAAAAGTGGAGGCCATATACGTGCATATTTTAATTTAATTTTAAACGAGTTGATTTAACATCATATACGTTTTAATCTGTAATAACAAATTCATTTCGAAAAGTCTTACGATGTAATCCGATTTAATGTGTGATACAGTACGACGGAAAAATGAATCATCGCATGTAAGTCGGAAATGTGCATTCTATACGATTTAACTGAAACATAATGCGAGGTATGCCATTCTTATATGCGATTTTGACTTAAACTGTAGAAATTTACGATACTATCTGTACATTGTTAAACGACTTCTGGTTGTCTGGGTTGGTTTTGGGCGAAGGATTCAAACTGGTCTATGCAGATGATTTAAAGCTGTACATTGTGGTGCGCACACAAGAAGATTGTTGGCTTCTGCAAAACTCGCTGACTTTGTTTGCCGATTGGTGCCAGAGAAACAAACTGACTATTAGTGTGGAAGAATGTCAGATAATCACGTTTCACCGCATGGTACATCCAATTTTGTTTGACTATCATATCGACGGCGATACTCTTATCAGAGTTACCAGTGTGACTGATCTAGGGGTTCAACTAGACACAAAAATGACTTTTGATTTACACCGTTCAGCGCTCATATCGAAAGCAACGCGACAGTTGGGTTGCTTATTGCTAAGCTGTTGAATGGTGAAACTGATGCCCCCGACCTGCTTGCGATGTTGAACTTTCGTGTGCCAAGCAGATCTCTTCGGAATACAACGCTACTGCAACCAAGTTTTCACCGAACCATGTTTGGAAACAACGAACCAATCTCAGCGTGTATTCGTGCGTTTACGGCTGTCGAAGAGTTTTTCGAGTTCAATGAACCAACCGAACGTTTTGCAAATCGGATTAGGTCTGTGTTAAATTAGCTCTAATTTATTCATTAAGACTAAATTGTCAGATGAATTATTTAAATACAAATAATCCTTTTCCCTTTGTCCTACTTTCCTTTCTCTCTTCTCTTTTCAGAAAGCGAGTAATGGCGCTATAGCCATAAGGCATAAAAGTCTAGGACATGAGTTAGTGCTCATGCCCCAACCGTCAGAAGAAAATGGAGCATCACTTAACCTTTCTAGCTTTGATGCTTCCAACGACCAACCAATCATATAATTACCTAAATCGGAACGTACGGTACGAGATGTCCACGTATCATCCAATTATTGGATTCTGAAGCACAGGGTGCCTTCCATTCATTTTGCCTAGAAAATGTTTTAATAAATTATAGAATAATAAGATATTATAATGATATTTTGTATGTGTACGTAACAAGAAAAGATTGTAATGTTTGTGTTTGACGCCTAAAACCTGCAAATTTAGCTTTGGCAGAGTCACAATGAGCGATTTTCTAATCGCCGCTGCGCGAAGAGTGAAGAGCGAAGGGTGGGTGAGATAAATGACAAAATCGCTTATTGCGACACTCGTGTAGCAAAATTGGCAGGTATTATGTGTCAAACACAAACTTCACAGTCTTTTCTTGTTGCTTACACAAACAAAATACTACTATAATATCTTATTATTCCATAATTTAATAAAACATTTTTTTATCCAAAATGAATGGAAGGCACCCTGCTGAAGCATCGTGTTTAAATCTTCGATTTAAACAGGCCCGATATTTTCTGAATCATCTTGCCCCTTAAATGCAACAGTAGGCCTGGCCGTTTTGATTATGACGCATCTTTGATGTGAAACATATATCAAATAGACAAGAAAACTGATGTAGGTATATATATCATTTTCCAGGATGCTTTCAAGAACTGGCTGTGTTGGTGTTAGATTAGATTAGATTAGATTAGAGAGAAATGTGCAAAATACTGCGATGCAATCAATTATTATTTAGCGTAAATCGAATCAAAAATAAAAGTCATGTGAAATTCTAGCTTCTAGCAAGGGTTGCAAGATATTTTAGGTACAAATCCCTGCTGCCGAATTGTATTTTGTTTTCTCCGCCTATCTCTCCCTCTGAGTATTTCTAATATAAATGTAATTAAATATCGTTATAATTTATTTATCATGGTCTCAGTGTTAATTTACCTAAATCTTCATTGAGTTCATTCATAGTTTAGAAGGAGTTTGTTCAATGTTTAGAATCTTACAAAAAGACAAAAGTTTGGTTTCTAAAGAATTTGTCTTTTTTAAATCTAGATATCCTACAATCTTGATTTTTTTTTAAAGTGATTTGTATCTTTTCTACAAGTCTGAAAATACAAATCATTAAGTTCCGGTAGTAGTGAGAGACAAATCTGCTTCCGACTGAAAATTTCCTGGGTTTGCTAAAATGGTTTGCAAAAAAATATTGTTAATTAAATATCGCATCTGTCACCATGTGACATGGTTAATTAAACAAAAAGAAAGAGAAATCAGAACATGTGAACATCAGAAGTCCATTAAAAAGATTCTAAGTCAATTCAAAGATAATACAATCATATTTTATTTAGTGAAAAATACGTTTTGGTTTTGATGCTCATAGATTGAATTCAAGTTGCTCAAAAGGAAGAAAACCAAAGTCGGCGATAATTTCTAAGTGTGTTCATCGATTAGCTTTTGACCGAAGAGAGTACCAGAGCTGAGTGAAAAAGTTGAGCACGTTTCTTCGGGACCTTCTGGTCTTAGAGTTACCTCTATGATAATACCGATACAAATGATTTACTGTTTCGGACAGGAATTAGGATGTGCGCTGTTGATTCCATGGAGGAAGTTAGCCGGAAATTCATAGTTGCAATTATGAAATCAAAAGCTGGATTGTAGCAACAACAATGATTAAAATTTTGACAGATATAGTACAGGGTTGCCAGTAACTTTGAAGATCATAAACATTTATACACATGAGCGGCAAACAGTGTCAATGAGGGTGCCCAGCTGCGCCCAACTGTATTTTTGGCACACTGTGCGGAGTGACCACTCCCTTGACATTGACTCTACGGATATTCCTAGGGAAGTGACCAGTTTATGATTTTAACCAAAACATAGGTGCGACTGTTTAATCGCAGTAAATCATAAATCACGGTTGGATCACAGTAATCATTGGATCACTATGTAACCAAATAACACACACAATCCAATCACAGTTACCATTCGTCACCCGACGATTCATTCCTAGTTATACCCCGTACAGACTATGGCTTATATTATGTAATATAAGCTGTCTTGCAATGAGCACTCATACATCTAGTTTTCACTGGAAATCCTATATATGAGAGCTCATTGCAAGCCAGCCTATATTACATGATATAAGCCATAGTCTGTACGGGGTATTAAACTTCCAGTAAAGATACACTAGCTTAGGTTAAACGGACCTATAGTGGAGGTATGTTAGTGCAATGTGCGGACGCCATAAGCCACTATAGGATCTCATTGTATTAAGGTATTTCCACTATAGGTGCATTTACCCTAATTAGAGAACCATTCATGTTTCATTTTTTTCCAGAGGTACCGGACATAATAATTACGATAGTTGACACCCGTGCTCACAGTTACAAATCATGTACAGTTATTTATCGTGAGCCACTGTGAGTTGATGAGAACAAGCGGAGGATCATTTCTGCTGAGTAGTAGGTTCAACGATGTACTCGACTACCATGGGACATTTTTTGTTTACGTTGGATTTTTGGTGCCGAGGCAGCACGTTAGGCTTGATATAAATCTATAATCACAACCAACAATGGATGTACTCTAGAAGAGCTCGGTTTAGAATATATTTTTCATAGCAGACTTAACTTCTTCTTCTTTAGGCTTTATTACGTCTCCACTGAGACTTTACGCCGCCTCTCGGCTTATTGTTGTATGAGTACTTTCACAGTTGTTAATTGAGAGCTTTCTAGCTTGCACCATTTTTACATTAGTATAATTGTATGGAAGATACAATTATACTCCATGCCCAGGGGAAGTCGAGAAATTTTCCAACTCGAAAAATTCCTAGACCGTACCGGGAATCGAACCCAGCCGCCTCCAGCATGGTCTTGCTTTATAGCTATAGGAGGCCCCAAAGACTTCATTTTTTCAAAATTCAGAGGGCTTGTTTATGTTTTAAAGATCTTAGATCTCGTGTTAGACATTTGACTTGGCAAATGTTACACAGCCCGGATACGTCACGTCACGTTTCAAGATGTAAGGGGTTGTATAATCTAATAATAATCGTTCTTTCAAATAAAACAACAAAAAAAGGTTATCTTCCATTTAATTCCACTTAATTAATTTTGGTATCCATGACAGATACGTATTTCGACTACAATGTGCAGTCTTCATCAGTGTCACTCCTACTAAAGAACTTTTCAATATCTAACCCCCTTAAGGTGTTTCCTCGTAGAGTCCGTTTTTCCATCACACCTCGCAATTTCAAGAGCACACATCTCATGATCTACGAGGTGTACACATCTGAAAATTTCAGACATCCTTTGCTTCTCCGCAGCAAACAACAAGTAATAGTTTCAGCTACGTACATTCACAGAAACCTTATTATTTTAACATGTGAAATTGCGAAGTGTTACACGAAAAAGGACGCTACAGGGAATCACCTTAAGTAGGTATAAAAGTCAAGATCACAGGTATAAAAAACAACCCAATTTCATTACTTCGTTCTTTCTAAGACTTGAAAAAAATAATCAAATGCATTATTTTTTGATGTTTTTTTTTTTATTTCAGTTTTCTTTTCTTTAGACAAAATACAAATAATATTTTATGACACATTTATCACATTGAAATCATGCGTTTTCCATTTGAATGAAACAAATACTTGCTGTTCGTTACTCTTGCTGGCATTCTGGCGTAGAAGTCGATTTTTTTTAGGCGTGGTGTTACGAATCAAAGACAAATGGTTCAAGGAAAGGAGAGAAGAGGGCAATTCATCACTGAGTAAGGAATGGGGGTGATGGACGTAGGTCTTTCGATAGGAATTAGTATTTACACGGAAATTAAAGAATAAATTTGGACTAAACGGAGAATGTAGCTTGAAGAATGATATGAAAACAAACGATCAATTAAAAAATGTTCTTCGTCACTCTTTCTGGCTAATAGCTGGCATATTACTTCGATCAATAAATAATTTGCTTGGGCACTTTTTCGTTACTTACTTCCTAACTAACAAAACATTTATACACATTTATGTCGTGGTTCAATAGGTGGCAAGAGTGGACCGCGCTTACGCTTTCACTACGGCACGTTTTCCTAGCACTTTGGTCGCGTGGACCTGGTCTCGGCTGTTGGTCACAGTGGCGTGGAATCCGGTGGCCCAGTCCGCGTAGTAGTCAACGGTACGCACGTTGCCGTCGGGTTCGACTAGAGAATACTGTCCGCGAACGACATCTCCGTCGCGTTCCTCTCGCTGGTGCTTGTTATCACCGGTCAGTGGATCGTTTACTCCGTACTCGAAGGCATATCGTGGATGGTCATCCTAAAATTAGACAATAAATATTAGGTCAGCAGGTTCTGGTCCGGTAACCCCCTCTCCGTATAGTAATTACTCACGTAGTATTCGTCATGCTTCTCAGCAACGGTTTTCAAAATAGTCGCTGGTACGACGGATTTGACAATTGTAGCGGCAGGAGCAGCGTAGGTAGCTGTGTAGGCAGGGGCAGCGGCAGCGGCGTATCGGATTCCTCCGTAATGGGCAGATGATACAGCTGGTCCAGCATAGTATCCGTGAGAGGCACCAGTAGTTGAGTAGTCAGCATATGCAGGACCGGCAGCGAATTTCGTAACGGCTGGGCCTACCGAGTAGGCTGAGTAAGCTGGAGAAGCGCTGTATGCAGCCACAGCGGGAGTGGCGATAACCTTAGAGACTGCTGGAGTGCTAACATAGCTAGAATAGGCAGGTCCGGACACCAACTTAGAGAAAGCTGCACCAGAACTGTATGCGGAAACTGCTGGACCAACAGCTAATTTGGACACAGCTGGACCGGCACTGTACGCAGAATAAGCTGGACCAGCGCTATATGAAGCATAAGCTGGACCGGTTGAATATTTGGCAACAGCTGGAGCTGAGACATAAGCACTGGAAACGGCTGGAGCAGAAGCGTATTTTGTAATGGTTGGTGCAACATATGCGGACGATACTGCCGGTACGGTGGCATACTTGGTAACGGCTGGAGCCGACACATACGCGCTGGAAACGGCTGGAGCTGACACATAAGCGCTGGAAACGGCTGGAGCAGCAGCATACTTCGTTACAGCAGGACCATAATAGGCAGCGGAGTAAGCTGGACCAGAGGCAACCTTGGCAACAGCTGGTGCCGAAACGTACGAAGTCGAATAAGCTGGACCAGTGGCAAACTTGGCAACAGCTGGTGCCGAAACGTACGAGGCATACGCAGGGCTGGATACTACTTTGGAGACGGCTGGGGTAGAGTAGTAAGATGAAACAGCAGGAGTGGCAGAGTAAGCTGAGATGGCTGGGGAGGAGACATATTTAGCAACAGCAGGAGCAGCGTAGCTAACTTTCGAAACAAGTGGAGCCGAAACGTATGCAGATGAAACGGCTGGGGCATATGAATGCGTAGAGTACGGCGCATAATTAGTCACAGCAGGGGCAGCATAAGTGGCAACCTTTGCAACGGCTGGAGCAGAAACATAGGATGTAGAGACAGCTGGAGCCGCGGCATACTTAGTAACAGCGGGGGTAGAGTAGTACGAGGAAACAGCTGGTGTGGAGACGTATTTGGTAACTGCAGGAGTAGCAGAAGCATAACTGACAGCTGGAGCAGCATAGGCTACCTTTGTAGCTGGAGCATAGGCGGCATAACTGGCTGGGGCGGCATAGGCTACCTTGGCAGCTGGAGCATAGCTGGCATAACTAGCTGGGGCGGCATAGGATACCTTCGCAGCTGGAGCATAGCTGGCGTAACTAGCTGGGGCGGCATAAGCTAGCTTGGTAGCTGGAGCGGCATAGGAGGCATAGCTAGCTGGGGCGGAATAGGCTACCTTGGCAGCTGGACCGGCATATGAGGCATAGCTAGCTGGAGCGGCATAGGAGGCATAACTAGCTGGAGCGGCGTAGGAGGCATAACTAGCTGGAGCGGCATAGGAGGCATAACTAGCTGGAGCGGCATATGCAACCTTAGAAGTAGTTGCGTAAGATGAGGCGTAGGATGCTGGAGCAGCATAGGAAACTTTGGTGGCTGGAGCATAAGCAGCGTAGCTAACGGCTGGAGCAGCGACAGTGGCAACCTTGGCAACAGGAGCGGCGTAGGTAGCGTATTTAGCAACAGGAGCAGCGTAGCTTACTGCTGGGGAAGCATAGGTGGCGACTTTGGCGACTGGAGCAGCAGCAGAATAACTATAGCCTGGAGAGCTTACGAATTTGCTTACACCTGGCGTAGAAACGTAGGATGATACAGCGGGAGTAGCAGAATAGGATGAAACAGCTGGTGAAGCAGAATACGATGAGTATGCTGGTCCAGACGATACGAACGTTTTAGCCGCGGGCTGATATTCGCTCGAAACATAAGCTGGTGCAGCAGAAACCACTTTGGTAGCTACAGCTGGAGCAACATAAGCAGGAGCCGCATATGAAGCGAACGACGTTTTATCAGCGTAGACTACGCCAGGGCTGGCAGCAACGGTCTTGACGGCCGGAACGTAGCTTGAGATCTTCAGGTCGGATCCAAGTCCATGGGCAGAGTATGCTGGGGAAGCCTCGTACGAGTTGTACGACGGTCCAACAGAGGCGTACTTGACGGCGCCACCTACCGAGTAGGATGAGAATCCAGGCGTGACGCTCACGGAATTGATGGCTTTACCCACGGATAGTTGTACTTCTGGTGCTGGGTAGGCGTAGCCATGTCCACCGGGTGGACAATCAGGGGCTGGGTTCGCTAAACTAGGTGCTGCTAAGGCTACAATCAAGATTGCAGCGAAAAGCTGTGAATCGAAACGGAGAAGAGAAAAAAATGAGAAAATTAATGACTATCATTTTCAGGCTCACTTGTGTCGGTCGCCATCGACGTCGCGACTCGTGATGGGGGATGGGTGGGCAGAAAGGAACCATATCGGACCGCGTAGAATATGTATCACGCTTTGAACTGATCTAACTCAAGGAATGTGAACAACCTTGCGTCGATTACATCATTCATATGTGTATGGCAGAGTCAAGTCGGGTTGAAAAAGTAAAAATGGACAACACACTTATTGAATGATATTTGTAATGCACTATGTAGGGCTTGATTTTGCGTGATCCGTTTTTTTTTATATCGACGAGTGCTGATCAATGCGGTTAACGAGCTGGTTTTGAACTTGTATGACCAAATGAGCGCAAATGCGAAAGAATGGCTTTGATTGGTGGCAGCTGTGGGCATGTGACCATCCGGTTCATGACAATTCAATTGGTCTTTCCGTTCTCTTGACGTATTTAGGTGTAACTCATGAGTTTGGATTATATTATGAACTAATACGTTATTTATCAGATTAAGGATCGGTGTTTAGGGCGTCGCTTCGTTCTTTCAGAAAAGACGTAGCTATTATCATCAACTGTGGCGCACTATTTCTACTGTCGATTGTCACTACAGTAGTGTTCCGTTTTTGGCACGTTCCGATTTTGGCATGTTCCGTTTTTGGCAAAAAATAGAGAATTTGAACACAGTTATATTGTATGGATACCTAAGAAACTTTCAGAAATACTTCAGACGATGATATTGATAGGTCCAGAGGTGATTTTATAGAATAATCTACACTACTTTTAAGATGGACCAAAATAATTTTAGGGACGAGTCTGAAGACTTTGAGACAAGTGAAGTTCAGAGTTGGGAGGAAATTCCATACTAATATATCAGCATGAAGCTTTAGTGCGATAATGTATTAGCTAGAGAAAGTTCTTAAGAGAATGCATTGATAGTTCCGCTAGAGTACGACAGTGTGAAAACTGAACAGAAGTTGAAATTAAGCGAAAGGTCATATTAATTCATGTACGTTGGAACATATCGATAGGGCTTCAAAAGCGAGTACAGTGGACTTTGAGAACAGATTTGGGAGGGATCTGGGAAACTTCGAAGATAAGCTTAGTGTATTTCAATTGCAAATCTGGTAAACCGGTAGCCATTATTATGTCCTACTCCAAAGGAATACCAGGATGAGTTTAAAGTGATACAGGGATGTGATTAGAAGATTTTATCGGAAGTAGGGGGAAACTTCGCAGGTCATTCCGGTTCAATGCATATTTAGTGAAAGTTCCAAAACTGATTGGTATGACTTTTGAGGCAAATTGTGTGGATCTGCCATCTCCGATGAGTTTTATAGTATGGATACGAAGCAGTTCTAAAGAGCTTTGGAGATGGTACACTAGGTTCGGAGGTAGATCTCAATCAATATATGGAACAGAGTTCCAGCTCGATAGCAAGTTTAATTAAGTTGTATAACGGGTCATCAGACTTAAAAGACAGACCAAGGCGACTTGTGATAAACTGAATATCCCGTATTTGCTAATCTCTTTAAACTGGATATTTGTTTGATAGCTTTTTCTTATTTTGTTGTTTTAGTCATTTAGACTATTCTTTGAATTTTCTTGGATTTATGTCCAGGATCATAGGCAAGGGGGTGAAGCCTTTTAAACCCCCTCCCCAGATAAACCAGGATTATCGTCTTTTTTAAGTGTGCTAATCTGGCTTAAGTTGTTTTCTAAACTTGCCTTTAAGGTTCCACCGGAGTGTGAAAATCGATTTTCGGGAGTCTTTCAATTCTCTAAAACGGTTAAAGTTAGCACTTTGGTGCTTTCTCATTCCCTAATCAGATCCTAAACGAACGTTTTGGGATCTATTTTCAAAGGATTTATTGTGTCTCCTTCGTGAGAATTATGAAAACGAAAAATTCCACCGGAGCGTTGTACTAGATTTTCGTGTATCTTTCGATTCTCAGTTTCCGATCTCTATAACGGTCAAAGTTAGCGCTATGATACCTTCGCAATCCCTAATCAGATTCCAAATGAACGATATGGCATATATTTCCGGAGAATCCTTTGTGTTCTCTGTGAGACTATGGAGGTTATTTGGATAAGTTTGGAGCTCGTTTTAATCTGAAATCATTGATCTATCTTGATTTTCACTAATTTGGCCATTATTGCTCAGGCATGACTGATCCTAACCTTCGTCTCGTACCGATTTTTTTGTCGATCTTCAGATTAATCATAAGTCTTCAGGCTTATCATTGCTATATTTTACGCTTCAGAAGGAAATCCTCTTAATGTTTGCTGTGGAGGTTCATATCGTCTTGAAGAAATCCTAGTTCTACTAGATTTTTTTTTCATAAATGAAATGCTTATTTAGTTGATACAATATATCACAGAAATTATCTTCTGCACAGAAAAATACGAATAAAACATAAACACTTATTATGTACACAAAATAATGGTAAATGACACTTCTAGGTGGATAAGTATGAGAAATATTAACCTATATTTGAATTTATATAATCAAATTAATAGTTTCATTCCGTTTCCCATACAATTTCCCCTACAAACTTTAAAGTTCTCGCGCAAATCCAGAACGCAACCAACAGTAGTTTGGAACCTCAATACAGATCGAAAGAGTAGTGTGGAGCAGAAAGAAGAAGGAGAAATGCGGTCAGAATGGATGTTCTATTAGTGAGTATTCCGTTCAGAGAGCCAAGGACTGGGAGGGACTGCATACGTACAAAGTGCATAAGGCTCAAAATCGTGACGAACGGCAAAAAACGGTGGGAAAGTCACGGGCCCGGAAACTGTACACCCAGATGCTGACGAAGCCTCATTGTCTCATCATGGATGATGGACTTACGTCAAGGTGGACCTCCGGCAGCTTCCGGGGCTACTGTTCTTCACCGCCCAGCACAAGTTTGATGTTCCGGAGGGAGTAATGAAGCAGAAACTTTCAAAGTTTGCCAAGAAATACATGATTTGGCAAGCTCTGCTCATGTGGCAAACGGATTCGTGACTACCGGGACTGTAAATGGGGAGATCTACCCCAAGGAGTGTCTACAGAAGCGTCTGCTTCCTCTGTTGAAGCAACACGAGGGCCCTACGATCTTCTGGCCGCATCTAGCTTCGTGCCACTATTCAAATGTTGTCCTGGAGTTGTTGTTGTCGTACCCAAGGACATGAACTTTAGTAGGAGTTTTCTTGAGAATTTTCAAAGATTACTCAAGAATACGCTAAAATTGAGCTCTTGTGAAAACTGTTAGAGTTCCTAGCTACCAAGAGGTCCATCAATTTGACCTATGCCGATTGATGTTTCTAGATTCATAACTAGAACTTCTGAATGAGTACAAAACATGGTTTTCAAGAACTTCGTGCAAAAAGTGGACTGGTTTTAGCGAGAATTGAGAAAATTCGCTTTCTTCTTAGAGCCTGAATCTTAAACCCCCTTTGGATCTGACTCATATCTGAGTTCCATTTACTCAAATTCTCATAAACGAAGATCATTCATAGACTGAGTAAACGTTTTCTCAATAAAAGTAAATGCCACTCAAATGTGAGTCTATGTCAGTCTATGAACTAAACTCAAATATAAGTTAGACCCACCGGCCGTGTATGATCCAAAATTTTAATTTCTTCATAAATAGTAATTTCCATATCAACTTCAAGTGGTTTGTGCATAGTCAGTTTTAATCAAATTAATTCAAATTTTCGGAGTTAATCCGAAATCGATTTGGCACAGGTTAAGCACTGTAGAGCGATATGAGTTATGCCATAATTGCGTAAGTACCTTATTTTTTGGTTTTTCGAACCCTCATTCTTCGTTAAATTCAACAAACCCTCCCTTTGTAAAATCTTTCATCAAATATTTGAATGGTTTGTATATGACTTGTTCATGTTAACGTAACATTTTTCTAAGACCCCCCCCCAAGTGCTTACATAAATATCGAATGGCCCCATACTTTCAAAATTTCCATCAGTCTAATAATAAACAGTCCCCCTTTTATACATTTATTCCCGTACAGTTTTCTATTGACGCGACTCTTATATACAGACTCTACAAAAAGCAAAAGAGTGTTCCCATATTTTATGCAACATGTGCCTAACTAACATGTTTCATGATGTAACCGCTTTACTCATTTTATTTAAACAGCCTCAAGCTGCTATCATATGCTATGTGGCAACCTTTACTCATTACATTTACTTTATACAAGCAAATCTGGCGAACTTAGTCAGCTATTTTTGGCTGTTGGTACTAGATTGATACCATTTTCCCGCTATTTTAGGCTTCCCGCGAAAAGGGAAACAGCTGTTGGCAAGGGGGAATCAACTCTGCGCACTGTGCCGAAACACAGTATGACCAACAATCAATTCGAAACTAACGATTTTAAATTGGCTCACTAATTGACTAGCCTATTGGTCCCAAGCAAATCGACTAACGTACTCCATTCTAGTATACATTCCAGTACTACACTATGTTTGTTTTGATTCGCTATGAAGGTTTGACAGATAAAATGAGGGGTTCGTGGATTTTCCTATGTTTCGAGGGGTGAATCGATTTGCTTGGGACCGAAGATAGTACCAGAGCTGAGCCAAAAAGTTGAGCTCGTTTCTTTGGGACCTTCTGGTCTTAGAGTTACCTCTATGGTATGACACTCTGTTCGGCACGTTAAGGCACACACTGATACGTATGACACGATCAATATTATATAAAACGGCAACCCTGTTGATCGCTGAAGTTTTTCTAATTGATTTACCCTTTGCTAAGGTTTGTTTACTCCAAATGAAAATATCCGTTAATACTGCTCCACATCAAGCATATTAAGAACACAAACATTAAAGTCTGAATAAGATAGAGCTTTACACCGGGGGAACCAAGAAGGCCCCTATCAGACAGAAGTGTCCCAACAGCCGAAAAGAATTAAAAAATACTAAACTTTAAAATACAATGCAGTATCCTTTAATAATCGCATTTCTGCTG